AAACATTTGTATATACGTTTGACTTGTTTTAATATATTATTTTAAAACAAGTGGATTGTATGCTGTTTGTTTTTTGTTGAAATTTATTGTCAATAAGTCATAGACTCTTACTGTAAATAATCTGGCCCACACATACATATAAAACATGACATACATAAATGAATTATTGTGTTTAATTATTAGTTATACAAGCTTCAAAAGTATAAATACAGAGAAAGTTCTACCACCTTTTTTGATGCTTTTGATGGATACTTTGTTGGTATAACTGTGGGCATGAACTATTGACCCAACATAGCCAACTTACGTCTGTATGTTCATGAAAAATACTAGCAATTCATGCACTAGATAAGAGATGTATTAGTTATAATAATCAAAACATTAGTAACTATATAAGTTCATGTTCATTGTAAAATTAGGAACAGAAAATAATAAATTGTTACTTGGATTTGGGCATGAAAGATGTTTCAAATATCATGATTTTTCTTTTCAACCATATATGCTTTCTCCTATCATTGATGACATTTCTTTCTGGTTGTATGAAAATGTGATAATTTCATGTTTACTTAAATTGTGCACAATCTTTGATATTGAAAATGAAATATTTTCTTTTTAAGTGTAAATCTTCAGGTTACTAAGATTAAATTCAATTTGATGAATTATTGAATTTTTGTAAAATATTTTTCCCAAATGTAAGACTTTACACAATATCAAGAACCATTATAATATCAATGTTTGTGTGATGCTGGTGTTATTGAAGCTTATTTTTTAACATGTATCATATGAGCTAAGTGGGGGTCTTTGTTGTTGATCAAGAAATGCTAACCCATTTTAGTTTTATTTTTTGCTATAACTTTATGATAATGCTTATTGGCTGAAATGTGGCTATTTGGCACTATTTTTACTGTAATCTACATATCCTGATTGATTCGAAATACTATCCAACACAGAGATTCATCAATGTATCACAGCCCTGACAATGAATTACAAAAAAACATGGTACCCTTGACATTACGTCTTCCATGGGAATACAGCAACCTTACAGAGACACATTGTGTCTGAATCAAACTACACCATTACACCTAAAAATACAGTCTGCAAACTCAAGGTGTGGCATAAAGACTGTTTGCAATAATGATTTCCCAAGAGATGATCAACTGAAGTATTAGTTTCTCGAGTGCAGCCACAGCAAAATAGAAGTCAAACAGCTACCATCCCAGAGTAATTGTATTACATCCACTTGTAAACAAAGTGCCATAACTTTTGAATTATTTATTCAATTTTTGTAAAAAAAAAAGTTGTGAGAGTTTATTGGTTCAAGATACATCTAAATACATGATTTTTAACTGTTTCTGCATTGGAAAAGTTTTTGGTAAGCAATAAATCCATAGTAAAAAGATCCCCCTTGGCTCATACAGTGCTTGTTAAACTTAACTGCTGTAAATTAATGTTTATGCACGTGTTTCAGATGTTTTACAAAAGTAAATATGATTGCTTGCATATGCATGCTGGTGAGTTTTGGCCTGTTAATATTGCTCTTATTTAGTTACATGCTAGTAAGTAGGGGTTGGATATTATTATAAACATGTAATGTTAGTCTTTTCTAGTTATTAAATGTAAGTAAATGAGGGTTGAGTACCATTCTGTATAGGTAATGTTGCTCTTATTTTGTTAGATGTTAGTAAGTGGGGGTTGGGTATCATTCTGTATGGGTAATATTGCTCTTATTTCATAACATGTTAGTAAGTGGAGGTTGGGTATCATTCTGTATAGGTAATGTTGCTCTTATTTCATTACATGTTAGTAAGTGGGGGTTGGGTATCATTCTGTGTAGGTAATGTTGCTCTTATTTAATTCAATATTAGTAAGTGTGGATTGGGTATTATTCTACTTGTTAGTAAGTGGAGGTTGGGTATCATTCTGTATAGGTAATGTTGCTCTTATTTCGTTACATGTTAGTAAGTGGGGGTTGGGTATCATTCTACTTTATTTGAATTAGGTGAGTTAATTACATATTAAATTGTATGTTTTAACCTTCTCACCTAAGGAACGTGCTGGTGATACAGTCTTTTAATTATTATCAAATCTACATAGAAACATAGAATGATATTTTTAGATAATAAGTTTTACTTACCACCACCAGTGGTTTGTATGTGTAATTGTTGGCACCATTTTTTCAAGTACTATTCCCACATTCAAATGTTTGAATAGTGTACCTAAACATGTAAATTTTAAAAGTAATTTAGTCATCTAAATGGCATGGAAAAACATATGCTTTAATAATGTTGTATACACTCTAAGCTATTAAAAGTAAAGAGTGGAAAACAGCTCATTGTACAATCAAGAAAAAGGAGAATTAAATTGTACCTTAATTGCACAGTTAAATGTATCAAATTTTTATTAATGTAACATCTGTTTTTTGATTCAGAGCAAACCTGGAACCCCAAACAAAAGCATAGTTTATGGATGTTCGGACTTGATGAATTCTACATTGTTCCTTAAACAAGTAAGTTATTAAAATTTCCAGAAAAGTAGAGTTTTTGTTTTACTTCTTAAATTATCAAGTGACATATTTCCACTACTTAGAATTTTTAAATTTGGAAACAAAACAATTATTCAATTCTCAGTAACAAGTATTAATTTCTTTAAGTAAGGCATTGGGTTTCATAGTGTTTACAGTTCATGTGTTCATAGCTTCAGAGAAAGAATGGAAGAATTAGAAATATTTTTTTAAGCTGTTGAAAGTTCCAGCAATGGTTTAGAAAGGTCATAAAAAAATAAGAATTCATCTAATTGTGTCATAGAATAATGTTCTAGGGTTTCTTGACATTATAATACAACTTTTTCATGTAATAATCTTCAAATAGCATTTAACAAAGTTTTTAGTTATTTATAACTGGTGTTTATATTGTAAAAAACTTTATAACATGTTTTGCTTACTGTTTAAATAACCAATTATAATTGTATGGTATTTTACTGAATGAAAGTATTTTCCATAGCAAGATAATATTTACAAAAACTAGCAGAGATATTAAAAAAAATAATTAAGTAGTTATAGTAGTTCTACATTGAAGTCTAATGCTAGTATGGTCCACAATCTGCATGTGCACAAATTGAAACTTTGAAGTATTTTTTATTATATAAGTGTAATCTTTGAATGATATAAAATGCCAGTTAACTTTACATGAGCAGAGAATATTTTTTTCATATGGAAAGTTTCCTATTTAGTTGTCCCCGAGTGGGACAATGGTAAGTTTATAGGGTTAAATGATAAAATCTGGTAGACACAGCATATATATATCGCTTTGGCGTTGCTCTAAGACAAACAAATAAAATCCTACTTAAGATATTTCCATGTACTGTTACTTATATTTAGTAAAACACTAGACTAATGTTATTTCAGTTTGTATTTTTGCATGAAGATTATAGTGTTGTTTGTTGTTCATGAAACAGTATTTATATTATGATAATATCAATGCATTATTATACTTTTCTAAGACTACTTTTATTTTCCAGCTCTCAATTTTAGGAAATGAAATGACTTGAATGGAAGTTGAATTAGAATCATTTTTTATCATCTCGTGTATTAAAGGATTTGCATTTTTGAAGACTGAATAATTAAATTTTGTGTTTGAAATATATTGAAAAGTATCATTTTAATTTGTAAGAAATATTAAAATAGTTATGTGTAAAAGAACTTTCAGCATAAAAACATTTGTGCTCATTATTAAATGATATTATTGAGTTAGAGATGCATTTTTCATTAAAAAATGTTAAAACTTAGTGAAACAGTATTCTCATCTGCTAAATCAAGGTAACTGTAATTGAAAGATGAAAATATTTTATCATTAATAAAAATGTATTTGTTCTTCATTAGTTTGTTGATTTTGTGCCACAAATATACAACATGAAACAGTTCAATCATTACATGAAATTAAGTAAATCACATAACAATTTAAACTGTTCATATGTTGAGGTCCAATATATTTAGACCACTATGTACCACAGCCTTTTTATGTAGAAATTGGAACTGTATGATTTCAAAGTTTAGTAAGTATAAAATTGTTCTGAAACTATAGCAGGCCCTCCGATACATCTTAATTCTTCACATTTTTCTATTTATTTAAGAGATTTGTAACTTTTTCATGTTTTTTGCAATAAATGTAATCTTTAAAACTTGTTTAAATTCAAAGAAGTTTTACTCTACCAAGATACATCCTTTAGTTTACTCTCTAAATGACCATTAAGTTGCATCAGAGTTTTGCTACACCAAACTAGTTATCTGATAAGATAGAACCTATGTTAAATTCTTAAGTTTTCTATGTGTGTGTTTCTATATAGTGTTATATAATTTACTTTAAAACCTATTTAACCCTAAAAACAGTAGATATGTGGAAATTTGTGCATAATCCATAAATTTTGAAGGACAGGAATTTTGTCACCATGCTATAAAATCTCCAAGAAAAAGTTGTAATTGTAATAGAACTCTTAAGTAAGTTGTGGAAACAATGTAAATATCTGTTTCTTATAAAAGGTCATTTATAGTATATGTTCATGAAAAGTAGTATATGATAACACTAAAGTAACTGATCTCTTAAGACAGTAAATGTATGTATACATGAATTTCATCTATACTTTCTACTGAGTTGGCTGAACATTCTCTGTCAGGTCATGTTGTTTAATATTTTTTTAAGTTTACAATGAAAATATAATAAAAATTGCAATATATTCTAACATCACACTAAGTTCTTGTTAAATGTGAGTTTTATGAAGCTTTGAACATGTATGGATTTAGTCGTGAATAAAATGCTATGATAACCATGTACTTTAAATTCCCAACATTTGCTATTTTAGTCTTAAGTAATAGCTAGTATCATATTGTCTTTGTCCATATTTGTGTTACTAGTGTATACTTTTCTAAAATGAAAAATTTATTAAGGTGACTTTTAGTAATTTTGATGTTATACAGTGTGGAAATTTCCTTATGTTGAAAAATGAACCAGTCAGTTTGCTTATAAGTTGATAAAATATATTTATGGTTTGTTTTGCCTGAAGTCCTTTGAACTAATTATAGTGGCACGAAGGAGTGTGCTTGCTTACATCAAAATACCGTAATGTGTAGTTTTTCACTACAAGTGCAATGGTACTGGGAAACATTGTGAACTGTCTTCATGTCATTTAGTTTTCATTGATTACAAAAAATTAAAAAATGTCTGTATTTTTGGGGATTTTAAAATATTTTTTACAAACCAATGAAATTAAAAAGGTTCCTCTTCCTCTGCTCACTTTTTTGAGATATGGTAATACAAGAACAGCAATGATGTTAATAAAAAATAATAATTTTTTATACATATATGACTTATCGATTTTGTTCGTACCAGTTTCAGTAACTGACACTGAATTACACGTTTGTTTTTTAACTTTTATATCACTCTGTTTTATTTGAACTTTCTTTTTATAAGTATCCCTAAATTTAACACTGCTTTTTCTTCCAAGTTTGTTTGATTGTTTATGTTTAATCCACTTTTTTTCTGATAAAATACAGCTTGCCAGTATCGGTAGTAATTCACAAGTTGAAACACCTTTTTTGTACACCTATGATACTAAAAATTGCTAAATTATATGTTTTTTTCTTTGTTGTTGTTTTTTTTCCTGATATATATAACATTAAACTTATATTTATTTATATTGCTAAACTTGTTTAGTTGTTTTATTAGATATTGATACATGAATCTTAGATAAACCTTTGATAAGTTACTGAAAATTAAACATCTAGTTTATTAATAGTGTTAATGGTACATTGTTAAGTGGAAAAATGATTAACTTGTAAACATTGATTAGAGACTTCTGCAGACTGCTTCTACCTTTGAAGGTTTTTTGACAATGTTTCCAACTGCTAGTACAGAGCTTCGTCAGGTTAAATTGTACAAGTGAAATGTTGTTAAAACATGGCCATAACAGAGAACTTGGTTAGTGTAATTTTCAAATATGTAAAAAAAATTACTTAAATGAGGAAGGACACGGCTAGAATAAAAAAATTCCTAGGGTTGGGTATGAGGTGTGACATCGTCATAACTTAATAGGAGCTTAAACTGTGTACATGCATAGTTTAATGTTTGTTCTGTTCATTGTTGAGGAAAGGAATCTATAATAGATTGAAACCCAAGCCTTTTTACACATTTAAGGATTCCACTAACCAGGCTTTCAGTTATGTCCATGTTTCAGTAATATTTTACATGCACAATCAATATGACCTAAAGAAGATTTCTGCTAGCAGCTTCAATTGTTGTCCAAAAACTCCTAAGGTAGATGCAAACTGCAGAAGCCTCCAATCAAGTACAGTCTTCCCTGCCAAAACCTTCTCTTAAGCAAGAATTCATAAATTACTAAAAATTAAGTATCTAGTTTATTATTAGTGTTAAAGATACAATGTGTTATGGCATTCTTGCTGTTAAATAGGGAAGTCAGTAACTCATTCTTGGCTTATTTTGAATTTTTAGCATTCATATATTTATAATTCATAACCTTGCATTGGATTATTTAATAGTGTGAAGTGTGAATAAATTTTTGTTTTATTTTTTAACTTGTGGACAAATTGTCATGCTTAAATATTTGGTTTCTCCATACTTTTGTGAAAATCTGAAATTTATTCATTGGTTTGTTTCAATTTACACTTTGTACTATATTTTGGAATGGGTGATGCTAATATGTATAATGTATTCTGTGAAAGATAAAAAAATAATTGAATTAAAGCAATATAAACATCTGCATCTGAGTTGTAGTGGACTATTATTTCTGTGTATTCCAAGATCTTGCTTAATAACAAAATATGAAACATTATTGCTATTATATATGCACAAATACTTATTTTCATCTCAGCAAAAGTAAACTAAATATGTTCTTGCTGTTCAACTTCTAAAAACATACCATAACTTGTGTCTGAAATATAATACCTGAATAAACAGCTGTAAGGATGTAATACATTTTGTGTTAGATTTGGAGGAATAAATAGCATTTTTTAATAGAAAACATTTTTTACTAGAAACATCATTCTAAGCAACACCACTAACAACCTGCAATTTATCATGGTTCATGTGAATTCTTCAGAGAAGAACTGAAGTGATGAGGAAAAAGATGTTAGTATATAAATACAAATAATTAACTATCGGTCCAAATGAAATAAACAAATGACAACTACAAAAAATAGTTGCAGAAAGTTAGAATTGCTTCACCTTGGGTTAAGTTTAATTTAAAACTGTGTGTGACTAATATAAAACTTGTTTGACTAGTTAAGCATTTAAAGAAATTGCAATCGTCCACTTTCAAAATTACTTAATATGGATATTTGTAAAAAATATATATATATAAAAGTTGATGAAACCAATCAAACTAAGGATTATATACATTCTGTTCCTTTTAAGCTTGTAGCTGAAGCATTAATACTTGAGTATATTATTTAGAACTGGCTCCTGAAAACATAAACGATCAACTCAAAGAATAAATAGAAAGACAGAGAGAATTGTATTTAACCATTAGATACAAGTGTAATATTCTACATATTATGGTTACATCAAAATTTATATACCATTGCAACATGAAAGTGACAATGTTCTATTCAAACCCAAAACTTATAATTTCCAATGGTTAAGTATCCTGACCCAGCTAGGATACCACAATAACGATGTTTTTGCTTTTTTTTTCAATGTACATATTTGGATATGTTGCCACATATGTAATGGGACTCAAATGAGTTTATTTAGTGTATTGAAATGAGAAAGTTTCAGTTAACAATAATGATTATATGCCTAATGACATTAAATGTAAAGTCAGTCTGGCTGAAATCAATGAACATGTTGTTACGTATCTGCTTGTTTGTTAATTTTCCGTAGAAATTCTTTCCGAGAAACTTCAGCGATACAAGTCCTTTCTTAATTAAAACTAGTTTATTCTTTCTCGATACAAGCTTTGTAATACACTTAACAAATTTTATAACACACGCTATAAATCACAGTGATTCACACACTTTACTTACGGTACCTATTGTTCTCTTGACTCAATTATCTATCTCCCTGCTGGCTTTCTTTGCCAGGCTTATATATACTAAAAAAAAAGAGGGCATATAGATCACACTCGAGCTGGCGGGCAAATTCTTGATCCTTTCAGAAACTCTAGCGTGCATGCTCCCAGCGTCGCGTGACTTTTGCTGTTGTAACAATATATAATATTTATGATATGTCCATAATATCTATAGTGTTGAAGAATTGATTGTAGATACATTAATTTGTTCTGAATACATATATTATTTTCAAAACAAGTGAAGTGCATGCTGTTTTTTCATGGTTGAATTTATTGCTAACAAGTCACGGACACCTACTGCAGAAGAATCCTAAGCCCAACAACAACATAGTATATACTTATACTATTAAGAAATATAACTAAAAGACTTTAAATTCTGACAACTACTGTATATATTGATAATAAAATGTATTGCATCTTCATCAGTAATTGCCTAAACACATTCACAAAAATGTGTATAATGTTAAAAAGGTAGAAATACACTAGTTTTAGCAACAAAAACCAGTGAAAGGAAAGGAAAATTGATGTTTGAAACAAGACTTGGACAATTATATTCTCAAGGGGCAATACTTTGTTAGCAAATATAAACATATCTGCTTTGGGATGATCATAAAAATTCGATAAACGCCATATTAATGGAGAATCTCCTAAGACTTTAATATAAGTTTAACATAACAGCAAATGTACAATGTTTCGACAAGGTTTTGTCATCATCAGGTACTCAAAACCTTGTCGAAACGTTGTATATTTGCTGTAATGTTAAACTTATATTAAAGTTTTTCTTCATTACCCATTCA